TTTTTTTTTTTTTTTTTTTTTGGTACGGCGGATTGAATGCGCTTGCAAGGCAGGCCACCAAACCACTGAGCTAAATCCCAGGCCCATAGTTTTAGCAAGTTTTGTGTTTGGCATCTTTACCACTCTATTGACAATTACTTTTTTTTTGTTGGTTTGTTTTGAGCATAGAAAGCTTCCTTGGGAACCAAACATTTAACTTGAGAATGGGCAGGTCTTGCTTTACCCTGAGAGATACTATGGGATGGAAACACACAATATTTGAACACCAAAGCACTTGAAAATAGTAATTTCCACAAAATCTGAAACACTAATCTTCTAGTATGGTGCAGAAACCTACTGTAATGACACATAAAAATCACTTGTATTACTTAGCAAGGGGAAAAAAATTAATGAATAGCACATGTTGACTATTTTGAACCATCATGTTATGAATCTAAAATTCCTGTGTGGCTTAAAATCAGCATATCATAACCTGAGGTTTATGGCATATTTGTTGCATAGATGAGAAAGGACAAAATCATTGATATGTGTTACTTTCCCCTACACCTGCCTCCCTTCCTAAGTTGTTGGTGTCTTGTCTTTTTTCTCCTCTTCCTCCCTTGGGTGGAAAACAGGTCTTGATTCCCCAACTGGAATTGACTTTTCTGATATTACTGCCAACTCTTTCACTGTTCATTGGATTGCTCCTCGAGCTTCCATCACTGGCTACAGAATTCGCCATCATCCTGAGCACCTTAGCGGAAGACCCCGAGAAGATCGAGTGCCCCCCTCTCGGAATTCTATCACCCTCACCAACCTCCAACCAGGCACGGAGTATGTGGTCAGCATTGTTGCTGTTAATGGCAGAGAGGAAAGCCCCGTCTTGATTGGCCAACAATCAACAAGTAAGTTGTTTTCTGATCTACAAAGAAACTTAGAAGGCCTTCCTGTACAGTTGGTATAGACTAGCATTATGTTTGGCAAGTCAATTATTTCTTGAAAAATAGACCATGGTTGGTTATGAAAGTTGCAGAGGGAAATAAAAAAATGTGTGTAAAGAAATCTCCCTCTTAGAATATAAGTTCTGTATCCCAGGAAATTTCTCACCTGGTCTGGATAACTGTGTTTCTAAAAACTAACCTTTTATTTAAAATACAGAAAATGTAACACTGTTTCAAAGTTCTCATTAAAATATAATTTTAGTGTAATAGTTTCATTATTCTTGAATCATAGTTGCTGACGTACCTATGGGAAAGACCTGTGGGAGACTCATAATCATGATATCTATTACCTCAGTCTCGGAGAAAGAGAGAAAGTAAAAAGTTGAGGCCCCAAAATTTTTTCAGTAAATTTTAAATAATCATTTTATCATAATTTGAATGGTATTGCTGCTTTGGTTCACATATTTAACTCTTTCCATAATCATGTCACAGAATCTGGTTGCACCCAGAAATGTGAAACAAATTCTGAGACCAGAATCATAGACAGAATTAAACTCATGAATCAGGGTATCACTGTACCTTGCATTGTTCATACTTTTTAATTCTGCTAAATTTGTTTGAGTATTTGTTATTTTTGTATAAAGGAAAATGAACACAAGGAATTTCAGTATTGTTGGAAAGTTATGGGTGTGAGAAATTTCCCACTTTTTTCCAGTTTCTGATGTTCCAAGGGACCTGACAGTCGTTGCTTCCAGCCCCACCAGTGTAATGATCAAATGGGACGCTCCTGGTGTCACAGTGCGCTATTACAGGATCACTTATGGAGAAACAGGTGCGTTATGTGCTGTTTTATTCTCTGACCGGATCAGAGTCTGGTATGGGTAACTTGAAAGCTCCATAGTGGATATGAGGTTAAAGAAACCTTGGTAGGCCCATTCAGTAGAGTTTGGCTTTTCCAGGAACATATGGAAACTGTATGATAAAATTGGTCATAAAATTAAGATTAAAAAATTGTTTTTTCACTACACCGTTGGGGAAAGAGCAGAGGTGAGGGGAAAAAAGTTTCTAAATTCACCGTATCATTGATGAAATGTGACTTTTATTTCTTTTTACTTTTCTACATCCTTATAATAGCATTAACTGCAATTTTCTTCCAAGTTTTATACACCTATCAGGGTTTACTACATGCATAAATACACCTTCATATTCAGATTCTATTAATAGCACTCTTTAAAAAGGAATAAGCAATAAGATGTGATTTACATACTGCCTTTGATTCACCAAGAGTCCCCAAGTAACACCAAGCCCCTCATACTCTAAACTAACTTCCTTGCAGGAGGGAATAGCCCTGTCCAGGAATTCACTGTGCCTGGGACCAAGACTACAGCTACGATCAGCAACCTGAAGCCTGGTGCAGATTACACCATCACTTTGTATGCTGTCACTGGCCGTGGGGACAGCCCTGCCAGCAGCAAGCCAATTTCCATAGATTATCGAACAGGTATGAATATTTCCTCTATAATAACAGGCTTATTTATTTAGCTGGTTGTTACAGTGTTTTTTCCCAATGTATTTTCCTTGTTGTGAAATTGATTTTTTTCTTTTCATTTTCTTGGTGGTGCTGATGATTGAACGCAGGGTTTCACAGCTGCTAGAAAAGTGCCCTATTCATTGGGCACTGAGCTCTGTACCCAGCTTTGATTTTCCTGTTATCTTGTGGAGGGGGAGTACTGAGATTTGAACTCAAGGAACTGAGCTATACCCTACTCCCCAATCTCAGTCCTTTTTATTTTATGTCTAACTAAATTATCCAGATTGGCCTCAAAATTGTGCTCCTGCCCCAGCTTCATGTGTAGCTGGGATTCCAGGCATATGCCACTTATACCTGGCTTTGATTTTCCTTTTTAATAAGGCAAAACACCTTCAACTAACAGAGTTTTGAGCCAAACATGCAAGGAAGCACTCCCAGAGCAAAACTTGTGCCCATGTTAATTGATATATCTCATATGCCTGCAATAGAAATAGGCATAGAGGGTGTTCAATAAATATTTGTTTAAAGAAAATTAATGAAAGAGTTGATCAATAAGAAGATAAACATCTATTCAGTTTATAGCTTTTCTGTGAATAAAGCAATCATATTGAACATAGTTGTAATGGGGTTTAGAAGCACGTTCCACCCAAAAAAACTCTGTCTTTGTTCCTGCAAAAGAAAAACAAAACAAAAAACACCTGGGAGAGATTAAGACGAGCAAAAGATTATCTGACTGTGCACCAGTACTAGAGACAAGAACTTGTCCGGTCTTGTCCTCAAGGACTGAAGCTTCACTGGTTTCTTCTTGCTTTTATTTGTAGAAATCGACAAACCATCCCAGATGCAAGTGACTGATGTTCAGGATAACAGCATTAGTGTTAGGTGGCTACCTTCAAATTCTCCTGTTACTGGTTACAGAGTGACTACTACTCCCAAAAATGGCGCAGGACCATCAAAAACTAAAACTGTAGGTCCAGGTAAGAATAACCAGTATGTCCCATCCAACAGGGTAAACAGAGTAGATGACATAATGTTTTTTCTTCAATAAATGGCTATCTTAATGTGAGTACTGTATATTTCATACCATAGGCCAGAGTTTTCCCATTCATGAGTTCAGGGTTCAAGACTTTTTACAAACTCATTCCTCAGAGAAGGTTTTTAGGATGAATGTATTTATATATATCATTCTATTTAGTGTTATGGACATCTTAAATTATTAGCTCCATCTCTATGGTTTAGAGTGCACACCAAGAAGAGAGGAATAGGCTGACTTTTTAGATCTCTGTAAGGTCTTATTTTTATTCTTATATAAAATTAGGATGTTATGGTAATGTCTTAGAGTCAAGTTATTTTCCTTTTTTTTTTTTCCAAGGACAACATCATTAATTGTTGGGGCATCCTATTGAGTTCTAGAGATTACTTTTGAGTATGACTTTTAATCCAATGTAGCAAATTTGTATTAGCAATGAGCAGGTTTGACCAAGAGAAAATTGATGTGTGAGTCCACCACATTTTTTGATAATCCTGGAAGTGCATATTCTAGGCTACCATGTGCTTACTATAAACTTCTAAAAGTCACTTGCTTGGATTTCTATAGTTGCTTCAGTTGCTTTTCACTCCTTTTGCAGATCAAACAGAAATGACGATTGAAGGCTTGCAGCCCACTGTGGAGTATGTGGTTAGTGTCTATGCTCAAAATCAGAATGGAGAGAGCCAGCCCCTGGTTCAAACTGCAGTAACCAGTACGTAACTAATGCTTGGTTTCCATTTTCAGGGTCACATTTGATTCTTAAGTGTTTGAATTCCCTCTGCGTATCTTTGGCTATTATATATAGGATAGCCAACTCAGTTTTATGTTGTATTTTTTTTCTCTGTCTTGAGCTGAGCCCTTGACAAGCATTTTTTCTTCTCAGTGCCAATTAGTTAAGTTTTAAGGAAAAGAAGTTGTGGAACCACCATTGTTTCTGTGCTTTGAATTTCTTCTGCTCAAATGACCTCAGCAAAATCTTGTTTGCCTACAGCAAATCTACACAGTGTTTTGCTCAGGACTGCCTTTTCTATGACTGGATGGTAAAGTTGACTAAAGTATGCCTGTGGAGCTAGGAGGTTTGGAGGAGTGTGGCTGGACCAGTGCCTAATATGAGTCCTCAACAAGAGGGGAAAAGAGAGGGAAAGAGAAGGAAGAGGGAAAAAATTACAGCAATCTGAAAATCAACTTTGCCGCTTTCAAGTCCTAGAAAATGCAGGTCTAGGAGACTAACCTCACATTGCAAAAGCAAATCCTAGTATAATATCTTTGAATTAATATAAATCTCTATCATGGGAACATTTTTCAGGGTGTCTACATGTCTCACATATACCAGTGTTTTGATAAATAATGAGACATTGAGTATTTTTTAAACAGAAAAAAATGTAAGCAAATGTCGAGTTATTTTGTTTTAATAGTGGGTTGATTGGAGTTTAATTTATCAAAGGAAATGGTATCTGCAAAATTGCTTTGCCTGTAATAAAATGCTTATTCCACAACTTGCTTTTCACATAACTTCTTACCATTAATTTGCCTAACAGACATTGATCGCCCTAGAGGACTGGCATTCACTGATGTGGATGTCGATTCCATCAAAATTGCTTGGGAAAGCCCACAGGGGCAAGTTTCCAGGTACAGGGTGACCTACTCAAGCCCTGAGGATGGAATCCATGAGCTATTCCCTGCACCTGATGGTGAAGAAGACACTGCCGAGCTGCAAGGCCTCAGACCGGGTTCTGAGTACACAGTCAGTGTGGTTGCCTTGCACGATGATATGGAGAGCAAGCCCCTGATTGGAACCCAGTCCACAGGTATATCAGTACTCGCACCCCCGGGTGCTCATGGGAGCAGTGGCTTTATGCCTTGCTGAAATGATTCTTTATTGAATTATTGATGCCCGTGTAAGGGAGAAAAGCATAATCCTCAAAGTCTGTATTACAAATGACCCTCTTTAAAGAGCAGTGGTAATAAACAATGAAATTTAGGTGATATTTACATAAATACATTTGATAAAAAATTTAGAGTAGCTTGGCCTATAATCAAAGCCATAAAGTGAGACATTGGAAGATAATATTTAAAATGTGGATTATTTCCTCAGCTTTGACTCCCTGTGCTTACCCTCACTAAGTACAAAGGAAACAAGTTTGCTGTCAGAGAACTGACTATAAAGAAAGCACCCAAATTAGGATATTTCATAGCAGCAAGATTCTGAGAACACATGGGTGAGATCTTCCCTGGTTAGATGTTATGTGCTGATATATAATTTTCTGATTCAGATGCATAGAAAACAGTTATTAGGGCAAATGCTTTGCACAATTCTCTTTTGGTTTTTTGAGACAGGGTCTCGCTGGCCTCGAATTTACTACGTAGCCCAGGCTGGCTTTGAACTCGGGCCAATCTTTCTGCCTCAGTCTCCAGAGTACTAGAATTACAGGCATTCACCACCACACCTGGCCTCCAATTCTTTTTCCTCTTTTGCTTTATTTCTGAAGCAGAATGGAATGCTAAAGATGTGTCCTCGTGACATTATAAATCCTGGAGGTGGCAATCTGTATTATTACTCTTTGCTTTTCTTTTCTGCTTCTACTATGAGCCAATTTTCTTATGCTATACCACAGAAAATAATTTAAATTTAGTAGTGATTTCTGCCATGGGGCCCAAATAAAGAGACAGTAAAAACATAATTCTATACCTTTTTTGGATGGAGTACTCTGAAATGGCTTTCCATACAGAGATAATTTATATAGAAAGGGGCTATTGCTCATCTTTTCATACCAATGGAAAAATCAATTGTAATGACCAATAAGCCAATTCAACTCTTTTGGTTTTTAAGGGGGGGAATTAAAAAACCTTTTGAAACCTCAAGTCTCTTAGAGTTCTAACATTTATTCAAGTGTTTCCAGTGATTCTGAGAAATGGTGGTTATAAAACACATTTCAACATGCATTTTCTTCATTTTGTATCCCTCTTATTACTCTTGTGCTAAATCTTTGCTGGACCAGGGAACCCATCGATCCTAACAAAAACAATGCATTCTTCTGCTTGGAATACACTTTATTTCTCCTTTTTCCCTGTTTCCTATACAATAACCTTTAACCAATGACCCTCCTGACAGCCATTCCTGCACCAACCAACCTGAAGTTTACTCAGGTTACACCGACGAGCCTGAGCGCCCAGTGGACAGCACCCAATGTCCAGCTCACTGGATATCGCGTACGGGTGACCCCCAAGGAAAAGACTGGACCCATGAAAGAAATAAACCTTTCTCCTGACAGCTCATCAGTGGTTGTGTCAGGACTCATGGTAAGAAGTGACCTGCTACCATTGGAACAAAAAAGTAGGTTCTCTTACTTAAGGTGGTGGTTATATAAGTTTATAACAAATCTTTTCCTCTGCCATTAAATACTTTTATTAGAATTTTATACTAGTAGAATTCCTTTATTTTGATGTAGACTTTTCTAGATGACAGTTAGAACAGAATTTTATAATTAGCTGAGGGTTTTGTGCAGTTCTTTTAGAAATATTCTTATTTTAAGAAGTTGCATATGTGGAGAAGCAATTTATATACCTGAAGGCTGAATACATAAATTCACTTGAGTTATTCATTTTCTGAGCTATGTTACCTCAGCAAGAAATATTCTTATTATACCAACACAATTTGATCCTATAACCATTAAAATATTTTTAAATCCTTTTAGGCACGTGTGCAGAAAACTAGCTAGGATCCTAGGGAATTGATGTACATCTTTACATAAGACCAATTCCAGGGAAACTAAAAGAAATAGGTTCAAAAACAGAATATAAAATTCTCTGTCTATGATCAGAAAAATTCATGATTTTTCACTTGTCAGATCACAAAGGAGACAAAAAGGCTAATAACCACTTTCCTCATTTAAAAAAATTAGTTTTGCATAGATAGGTAAGCTATGGTTTACTTGAGCTTAACCCCTAAGAGCATTTTAAAATTCATTTCATTTAATCTAGTGTCAATCATCTGTGATGGGAATCTAGGAATTTCCAGTGTTGCAGACTTGCTAGTTTATCTTTTCTTTTATAACCATTGCATTTTCCTAATGCTGCAGCAAAATTCCCTGGGTTCCATCGCAATGACCCTACTAAGGCTCACCATGCCCTTATTTCTAGGTGGCCACCAACTATGAAGTCAGCATCTATGCTCTCAAAGACACACTGACGAGCAGACCCGCTCAAGGAGCTGTCACCACTCTGGAGAGTAAGTAGTTAAGCCTTTGAGTGTTGACAAACCTATATAAACAAAAATTAAGGAATGATGAGTGCTTTCTTAGGTCACTAAGTGAACAGTGGAAGGAGTCGCAGTTGGAAAATGGATGTGATTGCTTATCTTTTTGACTGTCCCTTTGTATGACCCTATGGAAAGTGTTCTATTGATACATAAAATGGAATCATTTTATGTTCCCTTGTTGGCATTGTAGATTAGGACTAAGTAAGTTTTTCCTCTGCTTGGTAGAATTTGTTTCTATCAAGTTAAGTTTGGAGAAGACACACTGGCTTCTGCTGTTATTTTAACAGTGTAAACTGGACGTGGTGGCTCACGCCTTTAATCCCAGCACTTGGGAGGCTGAGGCAGGAGGATTGCTGTGAGTTCAAGACCAGCCTGGGCTACATAGTGAGTTCCAGGTCAGTCTCAACTACATAGTGAGATCTTGTCTCAAAAAAACAAAAAAACAAAAAACAAACAAACAGTGTAATAAAGTTGGGACTAAATTAGGCCCAGATTTTAGTTTTCTACTATATCAGCACCTTGCTATATACTCTTCCAGCAGCCACACAGAGTGTCAAGTTTTATCATCTATGAAATAAGGATAAATTAGAGATCTTTTCTGTTGAAAGAAAAGATATGAAACCTATAAAAATGACAAAATACTAGCAGTGATACCAGTCGTAGATATATAATTGCTAGGTGGCCATGTTGTTATAATTCCTTCCAGATGTATTTTTATAATACAGTAAATTAATCATTTTAATACTTATTAGATATTTTTAAAATACTAGAAAGTCAGCTCTGAGAGCCTCTTGGTCATATTTATAATGCTTGTCAAGCTCCTCAAAGAAAAGTTTTGAGATATGAATATTTTCTTATGTCCTAATTACTGTTGACCTTTCTAGCTGAATGCCAAAGGGGAAAAATTTATGTATAATTAGTCAATGTATTTTGTAAAGTGGAAGTGTGTGCTGTATAATAAGGACATGTGTTAAAATACCAAAACCTTGTGTGAAGCAAACAAGCACTAACTTCCAGATATGATCTCGTGCAGATGTCAGCCCTCCAAGAAGGGCCCGTGTAACAGATGCCACGGAGACCACCATTACAATAAGCTGGCGCACCAAGACTGAGACGATCACTGGCTTCCAAGTGGATGCCATCCCAGCCACTGGCCAGACCCCGGTGCAGAGGACCATTAGCCCGGATGTCCGAAGCTATACCATCACAGGTCAGGGGACGCCTGCTGACCACGAGAATTAAGCAGTACTCACTGTGCAAATGGGCTCATTAGTTATGCTCTGACTTACATTGTTTAAATTCATTTTCAATATTTTATGATAATTCAGTTTGAAAAGGTTGTCATACCCTGATCAGAAGTAATTTTGTTTTATGAATCCTGATTTTGTCTAACATTTATCAAAGAAATAGCTAAATTTTCCTTCACCAGATTTATTCTTTCATCACTATATACTTTCTCATTTTAAAAAAGTGTAATGTGTTCACTTCAGCAGCACATATACTTAAAAAAGTGTAAAATAATGCTGAAAACCAAAAGAAACAAAAAACAGTGTTTAGTTCTTAGTATTAACATGGTTAAATTTTAAAAATAATTAAATTTGTAAAAACACTACTTGATAATGGACTAAATTGTATTCAGAGAACAATCAAAATCTGAGTCAATTTAGGTTCTTTTGAGCTGCTAAATTCTAATTTCAGATATCAAATAATGATCCTCTGATTATCCTACAAAAGAGACAACACGCCCAATAGGTGGCTGCCCCTCATTCTTCAAGACAGCCTCTTCTAAAGTAGTGTTTTTGCCCTTCAAAATGTTTTAGTTATTTGTCCGCATGAGTGATTTGCTTTTGAGATACGTTTCTCACTGTAGTTAACATGTTCAACTTCATTGCTCAAATGTGGACCACTTCTGTGGTGTACATAAATGTGGGATGATAGCGAAGCCAAGAGAATTGCAAGTAAGCTTGAAAACTCTTCCAGTAAAGCAAGAATAGGTAAAAGCCATCTCTTTTCACACCTCAGGTCTACAACCAGGCACTGACTACAAGATCCACTTGTACACCCTGAACAACAATGCCCGGAGCTCCCCTGTGATCATTGATGCCTCCACTGGTAACTATAGTTTCCCCTGAGAAAATGTCATTGTCATCAGGCACACGAATCTAAGAGACAAATGAGAGGCTTTTGTTCTCATATTACCTCCCCGGGGATCATGTGGACAGTTTTTGGAATATTCAGATTCTTTCATCTGTTTAGAAGGGCTGGTGGAAAAGTGTAAGAAGTACTTTTCTTGCTTATTCATTTTCTGAGATTTAATTTTGGTTTCTTTTAGCCATCGATGCACCATCCAACCTGCGTTTCTTAACTACCACACCCAACTCCTTGCTGGTATCATGGCAGCCACCTCAGGCCAGGATTACTGGCTACATCATCAAGTATGAGAAGCCTGGGTCTCCTCCCAGAGAAGTGGTCCCTCGGCCCCGCCCTGGTGTCACAGAGGCCACTATTACTGGTATTGCTTTTTCCATGCTATGACTTTTTTCCCCTCCATCTGCATTTCTGATGCTCTCTCATGAGAACAAGAGGCCCTGTACTTCAGAAGGTATTGTTTTATGGGCAGCAGAGCTCAGTCCATCTCAAAAGGCACAAACTCATGAAGATGTAATTTCAGAACTATCATAATGGTGTTGCTAGAATTGTTTTGTTTTGTATTATTTTGGTACAAGAGATTAAATAAACCGTAATGTAATGTAGGTTATCATATGGATGATAAAATCCCTATAGCATATATAGATAACAAAGAGATACCACTTCTGTACTTTTTTTAGGGGGATGGAGTTGCTGGGGACCAACCCATGACTTCCTACATACTGGGAAAATGCTGTATCACTAAGCTATATCCTTAGCCTGGGGCATTGTTTTTTAAAATTCATAGGTACAGGAAAAGAGAATCAGACATGGAAAGAGTTCAGCTTTAAAAACAAAACAAAACAAAACAAAACAAAAAACCTGGGCCAGGGATTTGGCTCAGTGGTGCTACCGCCTGCCTCGCAAGCGCAAGAACCCGAGTTCCATCCCCAGTACCAAAAATAAAAAAAAAGAAAAGTTGAGCTGGATACCTCCTCCACGGACCCCAGAATGAGTGGTCACTCTCTCCTGCACAGCACTTAACTCTAGCCTCACTTTTCATCGATCTGGTTATTAGGCCTGAACAGATTCGTGCATAACATCTGCAGTGATTTCTCTCATATTTGCATTCTACTGGTAGTGCACAACAGTGATAGATTTTGGGTATCAAGTATGATTGATGATTAACTGGGAAGTCACCTTTATACACAGTGTTTGGGTAACTAGAGAAGAAAAGTGAAGTTGATTTACCTTTCAAGAGGCCACCATCCAGTGGCCCTTGTTTGATGAGCTGAACTCACCAATGTAATGTGATGATTCTCTTCTTTCATCAGGCCTGGAACCAGGAACTGAGTACACGATCTATGTCATTGCTCTGAAGAACAACCAGAAGAGCGAGCCTCTTATCGGGAGGAAAAAGACAGGTAAAGAGCACTTTTTAGGTGGCGAGGAGGAAGTGAAGATGAAGCACTTAACTAGTGATCAATTTTGTACTGTGAAAAGGTTCTCCATGTTTTAATGCATTGCTTGTGAGATTTTTTTTTTTTTTCTGACAGCATAGCTTATATATTGTACTGACCGCGAGAATAACCTAGCATGCTTGGAAGACTTCTGTCTTATTTCTTTACCACAGCCAGTCGATGGAAAGCTTTGTTGTTCACATTTAAAAAATTTAAATCAGGGCCAGGGATTTAGCTCAGTGGTTCGGTGCTGTCTTGCAAGCGCAAGGACCTGAGTTCGATCCCTGGTACCAAAAAAAAGCCAAAAAACAACAAAAAAAATTTAAATCACATATCAAATGTAAAGCTCAGTTCCTATCATTGCTGTTTTTCTATACCTTCCATTGAATTTCAAGAGTTTTTTTTTTTTTTAAGGAGCTAAATCCCACCCAGTTATTTATCTTGATTTATCATTTGATTTCTGAAACTTGGAACTAAATATTTGTCATCCAGTTTCAATTTGAGAAAATGCTATATTTATGGTGATAAGAAAACTTTCAAAATAAATATGTATTTTAATCTACTCTTACCATTTCAGACTGCAAAAAACAATATAACTATAATTATCATATTTCAGACACTGATGTAATTATTCTAGATTCTAGTCCTGACAACTTGCTTCTCAAATGAAGAGCAGAGGGTGGGAGCCAGCACATTTCAGTAAATCCCTGCTAATGCTTTTTTCTTTCTAAACTATAAAGAAATCTTTGAAAAAAAATCATAAAGATTTCTTTCTGGAGAAAATGTTTTATGATCTGAGAACATGTGATTGTTGAGGGGCTTTGATTGGGTTGATAAATAGTTGTTGTTGCTTGAGTTGATAATGACTGTGGCTGCCACTTGCTGAAGCTTAATGCGCTTTGCTTTTTGGCTGTAACCTCTCTTGGCCAGATGAGCTTCCCCAGCTGGTCACCCTTCCACACCCCAATCTTCATGGACCAGAGATCTTGGATGTTCCCTCCACAGTTCACAAGACCCCTTTCATCACCAACTCTGGGGATCACACTGGAAACGGTATTCAGCTTCCTGGCACATCCCCACAGCAGCCCACTGTTGGGCAACAGATGATCTTTGAGGAACATGGTTTTAGGAGGACCACACCACCCACAGCAGCCACCCCTGTAAGGCATAGGCCAAGACCGTACACACCGAACGTAGATGAGGAGATCGAAATTGGTCACGTCCCCAGGGGAGATGTAGACCACTACCTCTATCCTCATGTTCTGGGGCTCAATCCAAATGCCTCTACAGGACAAGAAGCTCTCTCTCAGACAACCATCTCTTGGACCCCATTCCAGGAAAGTTCTGAGTACATCATTTCATGTCATCCTGTTGGCAATGACGAAGACCTCTTACAGGTAATTAATTCGTTTTTCTTCTTACTGAGGCAGCCCAGAAAGGAGTAAGCTAAGTAACTGGAGTGGCCAGCGCTCTGATATGTAATGGCTAATCTTCAAAGATCCTCACAAAGATGGCATATTTAAGATCTGATTTTTGTTTTAAACCTCTATCTGGCTGTACTTTGGAGGATGTACCAGAGTATGTCATTAGCTTTTATTCAGCAGAGACAGTAAAAATCATTTTTACTATTCTCACACACTGCAGGCTCCTTACTGAGATAGATAGATGCTTCTAGGAAAGAAAAATATTCTACCTAAATTTACAGTCATATGACATCTAAAATAACATCTTTTATAGTTTGTCCTTAAAGAATCCCTTATGTCTAAGAACTTAGGTAAAGCTGTGTGTCTCAGCTCTTAAAAGTGATTGATTTTCTGACTAAAACTGTATTCTTTGCCCAGTGGACTGGTATCAATTTTTATTGTGTTGTTTATTTATTTATTTATTTTGGGGACAGGGGATCGAATGCCTGTCCTTGCATTTGCAAGGCAGGCAGTGGAACCACTGAGCTAATTCCCTGGCCGTATTTGTGTTATTTTTAGAAAGTGGCAGAATCTTAAAAACTGACTATACTGTGGGAAATTCATGAGCTTAGAAACCTGAGCGTGAGGTGATGCCAGTGTTTTAAAGAGTCCATGTTTTGGTCTGATGCACCTTGCAGAGCATACCTGGATCGTTCCTACAGTGCAGTGCCTCTTTTTAGTGTGAAAGGGGCAGTGCCTGGGTTTCCAGTAGGTTTGGGAAGACCCATGACTGCAGCAGAAGTAAGGAAAGGCTAGTATTGTTGAATACTAGTAACTGCAGAGCACATAGGTAGATTTTTGGTAGGAAAATCTGGCAGAAGTGATGTTTCCACACTCTCCATTTCTCTGGCTAATTGGGAACCCCATACCCCGCTTTTGTTTAAGCAGTCAGGGTTATTGTTAAGAGACCAGAGGAGCCCATGCCTATTCCTCACTCTAATGCTTTCTCTCCACTTTGTACATACCAATAATTGCAGTTCCGAGTTCCTGGAACTTCTACCAGTGCCACTCTGACAGGCCTGACCAGAGGGGCTACATATAACATCATAGTAGAGGCCCTGAAAGACCAGAGAAGGCACAAGGTTCGGGAGGAAGTGGTGACTGTGGGCAACTCTGGTATGTACTTTCATGTGCCATTTGGCCTCATGCTTCCTGCTGGGCTTCACCAGGGAAGGCTGCTTTTGTCAACTGTTCATTTATTTCTCTTGTCTTTTGACTTTGAAGAGTAAGGCTGTACATCTGCCTGGGGTAAATGAGCAACTTAATATTCAGTTATTTTCTTTGATTGCATCTTAATATCTTTGTCAACACACACACACTCACACACACACACACACATCAATCACAGGCTCTCAAATAAGGATAAGATGTCAGGCCTGGACGAAACTTTAAATATTACTCAGTTCAACACTCTGGACCTTGCTAGTGAGTACTATGTGTGGGTTGATAGAAAGGAGTGATTTTCTGGTGTCTTTTCCCACACTCCTCCATCTCCCCATGCTGTGGTGGTCTTGAGTCATACTGAAACTGGATACCTGTAAAGCAAGGTCATCAGCAGACATTCGGGACAAATAGATAAAATGCTACCAATATGGCTTGTTTCTAGCTGAAAAGCTCTCTTATTTTAAAGTTATTTCATTTTTTTTCTGATTATATTGGTGCAAACCTTAATAAAGGGTAAGCGACATTGATTCTTCTTTGTAGCACCTGGAAAGTCCTTTTAAACCAGTAGTGTGACACCTGGCTTTTCAATGTGCATCAGCTGAAGACTCTGCAAAGAACATGAGATAGAAAGTAATCAAAATAGCGAATCTCAAGTCTTTTCCTGACTGGAGAGTTCTCTACTCCATATCAGCAGCAAGTAATAAATTCTGTCTCTACTAAGTGACAAGTTTTCCTCCTAGGACCAGTTACTTCATTTCAGTTTCCTTCATCTGATAGAAAACTGCTATTTTACATGTGTAGATTCTTGTGAATTAAGCAACTGAGTATTTGGCAAGCCAGAGGCAGGATTATTTTGTGGTTGTTGTACTACATATTCACAGGAATACTTTATTATATTTTGCCTTTCATGGTTTTACTACTGAAATGCCATGTGAAAAGAATGTTTGAGAGTATAAGGGTTTTTGTACATTTCCACATCCATTATTTAAAGACACCATCTCTCTAACTTTTGTTATGGTAGAATTTTAACTCCTGGCTATTTTTAGAGTAGTGGCTCCCCATTTAACAGTTTAAGCTCTTTTCATTTTATTTCTAAGTCTACATTCCCAGTAGCAATATTCTTCATTCTGTCCAGGTTCTCCTAGCTTTGAAACATTTCAGACTTTTTAGTTTTTCTAAAACTCAATTTTCTCCCAGAGTCACGCCTTTTGAAATACTAGGCATTTAAAATACATATTGCATTTGATCTTTTGGGTTTTTACACTGTAAGAAGAAGCTGTGGGACTTAATCCTACACTGTGGGATTTAAAGTCAGTAATTTGTCTTCTTTAATTTTTGAGACTCTTGAGGCATGTTTTATTTATACAGATTATTTTAAAATAAGGTCCCCCCCCCAAAAAAAAGATAAAGAAACAAGGTCTTAGGTAGCATGATAAGACTCCACTACTTATGCTTGTCATCTATATCCCACTGCTGCTTCTTATTTGGAACAGCTGATTTTTTTGATAAAATGAAGCAGTCTTGCTAGTATAATAACAATGTACAAAATGCAGGGTTTCTGCATGATTATGCAAAAAGCACAATAATAAAAGTGACCATCACATAACAGTATATAAAATGCTAAGGTTTTTGCATTATAAGCAAAGGACAGCATCCAATAATAACTCTTAATTTACTGAGCACTTCTCTCTCTGACAAAGGGCAAGCACTGAATTCATGGCCTCATGTAATCGTCACAAGAGTTCTAGGAAGTAGAGATGTTTTTATTATCCTTATACTTCAGATGAGGGAATAGAAGCAGGGAGATGCTAAGCAATTAGCTCAAGGTTACTCTGATACTGATGAAGAGATCCTGCCACTCACCCTCTTAACTGGCTTAAACCACCCCAAGACCTGTTCCATTTTTTATAATGCAGATTTACCAGAAATGATTATTATTTGTAGAACAGGAAAGCAAAAACTGTGAGTGGGTACTGGCTACATTCATTGTTTATGAAAATGGCTGATGCACTTACAGCAGATGAATGCCGCTGGAATTCTGGTGTTAGATTTAAGTCGTTGTATAAAATGCCTCTGTTTTCTTCTTATAGTCCAGAACCACCAAACTGATGTCTTTTTTGGTTTTTTCCCTCCCCTTCTTCATAGTCAATGAAGGCCTGAACCAACCTACAGATGACTCCTGCTTTGACCCCTACACAGTTTCCCACTATGCCATTGGAGAGGAGTGGGAGCGATTGTCTGAAGCGGGCTTTAAGCTTACGTGCCAGTGCTTAGGCTTTGGCAGTGGTCATTTCAAATGCGATTCCTCTAGTGAGTAGCTTGCTTTGTTCATCCACCTGTTCCTCCATCTCTTCCAGTTCATGCATTTGCACTAATGGATCGACGAGCCATGTTTGGTAGACACAGGCGCTTTCAAACATGCAGCAAACAAGACAATACTGTTTGGCTCAAAGTAATATTTTGCATCATAGAAAAATGATGGGAAATTTTACTTGTTAAATATTGCTTCATTTCAAGGGCTGTATGCTACCACACTATTGATTAAAAACAAGTTTGCAGTGGTAATTTTTGAAATTTTCTTTTGTACAGTATCTAATCAATAAAGTCAAATTCATTGGAACCAGGCTTAAGAGTGTCAAAGACAAAAAAATAAAAAGAATCTCATATCAACTAATCTTTTGGGTCAAGTAAGGCCAGAGGTGGACATTTTTACTCACAAATATTCTTTCAACACAAAGCAAACATATACATCCCCTAGTACAAACAGTCCTACATCACACACACATACAAATCATGCACACATATAATTGCATACATCACACACATATCACAGATATACATAAACAGGTACGCACACACATGCACACACACAAACAACCTAGAGAAATTGACATTGATAGTAACATAAAGGAAAGTATATAGGTAATCTAATTATTAATAGTTAGCAATCAGCTTCAATAAAAAATGTTTGATTTGAAAATTTTAAAGACATTTTAATTATTCAAATATTTCTCAGCTAAATTGATCCTAGGAATTATCTGTTATGCTTTGAAATTTAGTATTAGAATTTGTAACCTTTCATTATTCTTTGTTTTGGGGAGATACAATCATTATTGACAATTGGTTCATTTTTATAACCATTATCCCTTATAAACAAGATTCCTATGGACATTTGTAGAAATCATATTCTTTGGAAGTAAAATATAACAAATTTTAAAAATTTTCCTCAAAGTATTTTATTTGTGAAACTCAACTAATGTTTTCCAGTGTAGACTTCTGTCTGAGAATGGAAAAGCAGAGCAGAAGAGGGGTCATATATAATGTTGGGATTAAGACTGTTAATATGTGGTATCCACTCAGTTTGTAACTTCTGAAACTGAACTACTTTTAAGTTTTAATATTTTGTTTTTACACGTGTGAGTACTTAGCTATACTGAAGAATTAGAGCTACAAGTTCAGCAAACAGATTGTTTGCTTAGATGTTGTCATTGTCTAACACCTTTTCTCACAGTATAAAGAGGGCTCAACTGTTGATAAACTGGAAGAAGAAATGTATTGTTACATGAATTTCTGAAAAGGATTCGGCTTAGCATAAATCTTGGAGATCAAACATTTATCTTGTATGCATGATAAAGACATACTACTTGGGACTTCTGGGTGTTCTTCAGCCCGTCTTCTGTTTCTAGGAATAATAACTATGGTTATCATTTTGTTTTTATTTTGTTACCTGGGTTTATTCTTTTTTCATTTACATGAAACAAGTGGGGCCAGGTAGAACCAAATGATCTGTTTGAGGTTTAAGTCTTGTACCTAGGGTCTCTTCAAATCAAAAACAATTATTTTATCCCTAAAAGACTACTCTAATCCTGCTTTAGTTTCTTTTTTTTTTTAATTTTTGTAACTGGGAACCTTAATAATGAGAATTCAAACGAAAGTCATTGACTAGTTATATGACGTGATTGTGGCAAAATAAACCTTGAAACGGTTGAGAAAATGTTAAATAGAGGAAATGGGTTTAAATCCAACCAAAGAATTGGTTCATCGATGAGGATCATGATCTTTAACTTTCCACTCCTTTCAGATACAAGATCTTAAAATCCTGTGACGCAGTCCAGTGTACTGAGTCCAAACACAAATAACTTTTTCCGTGATTTCCCAACCCCTACAGAATGGTGCCATGACAATGGTGTGAACTACAAGATTGGAGAGAAGTGGGATCGCCAGGGAGAAAATGGCCAGATGATGAGCTGCACATGTCTTGGGAATGGAAAAGGAGAATTCAAGTGTGATCCTCGTACGTCATCACAGATCATTTTCAGCGCCTTATTAAGTGCTCCAACTTCCACTACTGCACTGTAGCTCTCGTTCACAGGATCGATTGGAGACTTGAGGTCCCCTTGAGGACTCAGTAGTGGGCTGGTCAATCTTAGTTTGGAAAAGCAGAGACAAGCGTCAAAAATGAGTCCTGATTTAATGTTATAGCACTTTTCTAATCTAAGTATTTTGACCATTATCTGCAGTGAAATGTTATAAGAAAGCTCTACTGGTCTGTAGATTGAGCTTCTAAAAGGTGATTTCCATCTTTCCACTGATATCTAGTTTTTGGAAATAGAGCTCTAAGATCTATAGAGCAGTTCCTCAGTTATGATGATTGATGGAAATTTGTGAGATTTGGGCTGTGATGATACAAATTTAGGACACAAGTAGAACCCACCTTTGTATCAAGCCAAATCTGCGTTATTGTTCTGTCTGACACATGCTTCTGATTTGTGCCTACACATAGATGAGGCAACATGTTATGACGACGGGAAGACATACCATGTAGGAGAACAGTGGCAGAAGGAATACCTGGGTGCCATTTGCTCTTGCACTTGCTTTGGAGGCCAGAGGGTAAGTTTGGATGTGCCAGACTCCCTGCAATTTAGATAGGATGCAGAGAAGGCTCCTGCATGGATGTGCTGTGTGAACAGGCGTGGCAGTGCCCTTAGGAAGGGTCCATGAAGTTGTTCCCTTCGCTCACAGCTTCAGTCCCTTCTCATGCCTTCTGTACTCAGGCTGTTCTATTTTTCACCACCTGAACTGTTAAATGCTGTGTAGCACTGAGCCTCCAGCTCCATTCTAATGGACAGGTACCCCTGTGGCATTGTTGTCAACTATTTTAAATAATGCCTTGGGTCTAAGAAAGTGCCACTACTTAGTGCCCTCTCGCAATTGAAAATTAGACCCTTGCTCTGTAGCTCTCTCACAGGCTAATAATACAGGAGAAATGGAATGAGAAGTGGCTCTGGCTCTTAATGATGTAGTCAGGGACATTAAATTAGTACACATTGCAAAGTCAAGCTAATTAAGTAAGATTCTGAAACTGGCTGATACAGTTCCAGGTAGTCTGGAAACAGCAAGAAAGGCTTAATGGAGAAGAGAAATGTAAGCTAGCAGAGAGATGATAAGCATGCTCCTCAAGTTAGGAAGGAGCTGACCCAGGAGAGAGCCAGTAAGCCAGGCCTCTGCCTGATGTCTTGTGGTACAAAATCAGGAAGTCTGTTATTTAAGCCATTTACCCCTCAGCCATTTCTAGTATGTACACTTCTTCAGTTGAACAAAAAATGCCATCCCTTTCTCTCATCATTGTAATTCAGAAAGAACTGAGTCTCATAACTGAAATAATAGAACATGATAGCTTAGTTTTTCAATGAAGCCACGCCCTCTCCAATAGCTTCCCAAATTCCAGTACATTATGAGAATGCTCCCCACCCCAAGGTAGGATTCATTCTTGACGTATTTGGCGTTAACCAATTCAGGTACCCACAAAGAGAAGAAGCAAGATGGAAAATGGTCTTTAGGGTGGTTAGTTTGGCTGAAGGGAAGGATCTTGAAGGGCCTCTGTGTGCATCATCTTGGAACCTGGGACAGCAAGACAGCCAGTGAAAATTAATGTTATTCCATCCCTAGCATATAGAATGCTTGTCTCTGTCTCCACCTACCCCACCTCCCTTGAAAAATGATCAAAGAACTCAGTCCTCTTGGTATAAAAAAATCTACGATGGAGAGCGGATTTGTTGGGAAATAGATTTTTGTCACACTTCAGCGTCTCCCTGTTATTTATGCACACAAAACCTTTCATGTGTGACACTTACTCTGTTCTAAAGTGCTAAATGAAACACTTAAGACAGGAGTGGGAACTGTTATATTTTTATATGAAAGCAACAATCACTGATTCTGTAAGTAGGTATTTACCCATATTGTGTTAGGTATTATGGCAAGCAGGCTCCTATGTGGAGAAATGTGTCTGAAATATTTGAAATGATAGTGTAAGAAAGTGGTGGTATTTTACTTAGGGTTCTTTCAGTTCTAAGAGGAAAATCCCATTCAAGTTATGTGAGGCTCAAATAGCTCGCATAACTGTAATGCCCCCATTCTGCCAGCTTCTGGGGCTGTTGTGACACGGGCATCTGGAGGCTGTCACTTTTTATATGGCTTCCTTCTCTAGGAGATTTCTGCTGATGGAGACATGAGTCACCTCTCTCAGTTTCAATTACACCTTCTGGCCGCTTAAGAATGACAAAGAAAGAAAATGCCTGTTTCCTCGCCTTCCAGCAAAAAACCTCAAGGGGGAGCCTCATATCACCCATTTCACCTGGCCGTATGCAAGGCTATGATAGATAGCACTTGCCTGGGAGGTTAGGAAGGGAGTGGCCATGCAATGCAGTAGACAGAGTATGACCAAAGTCACCCCAATTCCAAGGTGGCAGCCCCAACCCCACCCATAGTCCACTGTGTGACTTCTCGTGGCTGGGTCTGTGTGCGGATGGTGAAGTGAGGGCGTTTATGCAAGGGATCTAAAGTCCCTTTTAAAAGCTCTAGGATTCTAGGAAAACCTCTTCTGTGCTAAAGTGCAGAAATCTTGAGGAAGTTGGGCCTGGAATGGGTCTCAGCATAATAGGAGGATTTTCACAGAAAGAAAGGTCATTTTAGGAGAAAGGAAAAGCCTAAGTAGAGTAAGTTACGGTTATAAATGCATGAGATCATCACCCAAGCTCCCTTGGTGATTAACTGCTTTTATTTTGCCAATTCATGAGAGCTGAAATTCCTCTTTAACTGAAGCACTAAATCACCCCGCTGTCCAGTTATCACAAACGCCTTTTGACTTCCTGCTTCTCCTCTCTCAGGGCTGGCGTTGTGACAACTGCCGTAGACCTGGGGCAGAACCTGGTCCTGAAGGTTCCACTGGCCACTCCTACAACCAGTATACACAGAGATACCATCAGAGAACGAATACTGTAAGTGCACTTGCACCCCATTATCTCCCTAAGCCCAAGCAGGTGCATAGCAGGGAATCCACATTCTTGCACACTTTTCTTCAAAATGAACCAAGTTATTTACTTTTTTAAGTCTCATAAATGACTTACATGGCATAGTGTGTCCTAGAACATCATTATGCCTTGAACATCTCATCACTCAGTATACTGACTTCCAGATTTTTTTTTTTTTGTACCGGGTATTTGTAAGGCAGGCAGCAGAACCACTGAACTAAATCCCCGGCCCTCTGACTGCTAGATTTATGAATTACTAAAGGTAGTATCCTTTCTAGAAACAGTTTTCAGTGTTTCCCCTTCCCATTTTTTTTTAATGCACACTTCGGCGTATTTGCTGCTAATGTCTTCCTTTTTCCATTTTAACAGAATGTTAACTGCCCGATTGAGTGCTTCATGCCTTTAGATGTCCAGGCTGACAGAGAAGATTCCAGAGAGTAATATCAGCACCCAAAGGACCAAGCGCGTCTCTCTGCCAAAGTCTGTCTAAACTGGAGTTATGTCCGCAGATCCCATCTTTGAGAGTTTCTTTCTAGCCTTTTGCTCTGGAGTAAGTTTTCTGGCTTCAGCTCAACTCACAGCATCTCCAAGCATCACCTAGGAGTGTTTTGAGACTTTTCTTATAAATGAGGGCAGGACGTTGCCTCTTCAGCTTCAAAATATTCAGTACCGCTCAGTATTTTAAATGAAATGATTCTTGGTATGATTTGGTGTGGGATCAATAGGGAAGTGAATGTGCCAACCAAGATGCCAGATGGGTTGAACAATATTACCAAAGTTTTAAGTAGGGGGAAAGTAACCTATTTAACTGTCTGGCCTGCAGTACTGTAGGAATGGCATGACCCGGTTACTGTGATATTTAAAATAGCCACAGTTCTCACTTGTTCCAAATGATCCTAATAACTGCCTAGAAATATCTTTCTCTTACCTGTTATTTATCAATTTTCCCCAGTATTTTTATATGGAAAAATTGTATTGAAGACACTTAGTATGCAGTTGATGAGAGGAATTTGGTAATATTGATGGTTGGTTATTTTTTATACTGTATTTGCCAAAGCTTTACTACTGTGGAAAGACAACTGTTTTAATAAAAGATTTACATTCCACACTTTGAAGTTCACTTTATATAAAGTATTTGGGGAGGAAATAATGATCCTTATGAGGGTTTTTTGGTTTTTGTTTTTTTTTTTCCAATTCAGCCAACATGTGAAAATCTATGATGTGCCAGGCTCTCTAATTCTTGGGTGATTTCTGTGCAAGATTTTCTGCCTAGGCTGGGGATTAGCTCAGCAGTTCAGTGGCCTACCTTGCAAGTGCAAGGACCCAAGTTCAATCCCTGGTACCAAAAAAAAAAAAGATTTTCTGCCTATCGCTACAAAAACAAATTCATTTTTGTTATGTCATCTCTTCAGTGGTGGGATAGCTTTATGTTTTCTGCCTTAACAGATTTAAGGGAACTGAATTTTTTTGGTTGGTTTGTTTTTTTTGAGACAAGGTCTCACTATGTAGTTAAGACTGACCTGGAATTCACTATGTAGCCCAGGATGGTCTCGAACTTGCAGCGATCCTCCTGCCTCAGCCTCCCAAGTGCTGGGATTACAGGCGTGCACCACCGTGCCCAGCTAAGGGGACTGAAATTTTTATTAAATATGCTTCAGTAGGGCTGGAGATTTAGCTCAGTGGTTCGGTGGCCTGCCTTGCAAGCACAAGGACCCGAGTTCAATCCCTGGTACCCAAAAAAAAAAAAAAAAAAAAAAAATTGCTTCAGAAGTAGAATTGAAGCGACCTTTGGTTGCTCTTTTCTATTATAATTCTTCCCCTCCCCTTTTCTCCTATCCTTCCTTCATTGAATAAACATCTATTCAAGTAGATCACTTATAAGGAAAAGAGGACAATTTATTTGTTAAAACCACTTGAACAGTACATTATATAGAAGTTTTATCTTAAGAAATTCCCTTTGTACAATAACTTCAGTCTAACTTATCTCAATTCTTATCCCCTGACACTCATCATGACTTGATAAACTCTGACTAAGGAATTGGCTCATTCTTAGATTACAAAGATCATTTACTTTTTAATTTCAAATGGGGAAACAACTAAACATTGGGTTTAAATCTGACACTTAGGGCTGGGAGTGTGGCTCAGGGATAAAGTGCTTATTTAGAATGCCCAATACCTTGTGTTTGCTTCCCATAACCTTCCAAGAAAAACAAATGCACATTAAAATTGATTTTCACACACCAGGCATATAGTGGCATATACCTATAATCCCAGCACTTGGGAGGCTGAGGCAGAAGGATTTCTGTCTCAAAAGACCAAAAAAAAAAGAAAAAACCCACTTTTTTTCAGAGTAGTAAATAGCAAGAAATACTTGGTTTTTATTTAATAAAAGATTTAGACTTGGGCCAGGGATTTAGCTCATTTTAGCCTGCCTCACATGTGCAAGGTCCCTAGTTCAATCCCTGGTACCAAAAAAAAAAAAAAAAAGATTCAGCCATCACTTCTACATAGTATTATTCAATATATTTAAATAACTACCTGGTAAAACTATCTGGTAAAGAATACAATACATTTGAAATTCACTTGAATTGTAAAGACAATACATTTGAAATGATTTACAGTTTATAAAATTGCCTTAGCATTCAGCATCTCACATGATTACAGTTTAATTTTACAAGAGAATACAGTTCAGATGAGTTTTCCTTAGCAGAATACAGACCTAGACCCTGGACTTCACCACTAGTCTCACCAGTCCAATAGTTATCAAACTAGCTGCCTTGCACCTGTTTCAGGATCTCAGGTTGTATGGACCAGTGTGATGATCCGTGACCATCTGCCACAGGTGAGGCAATGTGCTCACTGAAGAAAGAGCTGGAAACCGTGTGAAAGAGTACCTGAGGGAAAGGAGCCCCATCTCTTACCCTGATCTGGAAGGTCTTTATATTTAAAAATGTAAAGGAAGAGCAGCACCAGGTTGACACTGCCTGTACTTTAAATTACCTGCCCCAGAACCATAAGAATATTTTGCTAAAATGCAGTTTCAATCAACCCATTTGGATTGTGTTAAATGGATAGGATGCCCTTCTGAGTACTTTTATGAGAAAATGTAAAAGCCACAAGCTTCACAGTTAAAAATTGTTTTGAAAAGAAAATATAACTTCCCACAATATCTATTGAATTGCAAAAGGAGTATGTTAGGTTTACAAATTAAGCTTGGAAGAAATTTAAATGGCCTTTTCTGTTTGGGAATCACAAGATGAGAAAGGCAAACTTTTTTTTTTTTAACTGTTTCTCAGCAAAATCATGAAACCTGAGAACTCAGTATTTCCAGAGATCTTTCTCAGCTTTCATGTCACTGCTCCCTGCTAGAACTGCCTTAAACAAAGCTAGATGGAAAAGGTCTGATTAAAAGATCAATCTTGGGCCAGGTATTTAGTTCAGTACTTCCAGTGCCTGCCTTGCAAGCTCAAGATTCCTAGTTCAATCCCTGGTACAAAAAAACAAAACAAAACAAACAAACAAAAAGACCAATCTGTATTTAGACAACTAATGGACAATTTAAGAAAAATAAGCTAAAGGAAGGTAGTAAATATTATGCCTTTAAAAAAGAAAAAACTAAGTTTTAGAGTTTTAACTGTGCTTGCTGCACATGATTTATAGTGAAATTTATTATTTATATTTTTTCCAAGTCTAATGACTTACATGAATTACGCAAATTTGTCTATAATATCACCATAAGCCCATAGGACACAATTTCTAGGGAGGTGAATAAAGAAATGATCAGGTGGAAATTACAAGTGTAAGAAATGACTTTTTCTATTTAATTATATTTCCACTGAAAATTCTATTCCATTCTAGTTGCATGAAACTCATTAAAGTGATTAAGAAACATCATATCAGCACATTTAAGTGCTGAAATTGCCAGCTCTTCAGTAAGTTCCCATTAGTGCAGTAGGGAAAGTGGCAGGCTGCAATTTTTTTAAAATTCTCATTTTCACAGGAGACAATTCAACAATTTAAAAAAAAAAAAAGGCCATTGCTGGGACTTCTTATGTCTGGGGACATTTGAGGAGTAGCAGAAGGCAAGGCAAAAGCAGAGCAGCACAATTATGACCTTACACAAACTAAGGAAGTTCAAGTTTGGGGCGCTTTTCATTGAAATTTGAGTTGTTGCCTTTGCCAGATTGTCTCCTTCCATCTCCTCATTAAAAGATTCTATTTGAGTTGCACACAAAAATCCATACAAGGCATGCCACCAGATCCAGTAAGGACCCAAGGACCCTGCAGGAGGCCTCTACAGCTGCCTGCCTGGGCCCAACTGGCGGGTGCGTGACCTCCCAGACTGTGCGCCACCAGATCCAGTAAGGAAGGTAGCCCTTGAAACACCCCCACTACCTGCTCCCCCCCCCATTGTCAAACTTCCTGATTGGGCCAGTCCTTGGATCCACTCTGCAGAGGCATAGGTGCTCATGAAGGGTAGTTTTCTGAGCTCCCAACTTTGAACATCTTTAAAGAAAGGGCGGGGGAAACCTGTAATAGAACTGAGTGGAGTTCAGCCTGTGGGTTGGGAAACTCAAGTTAGGCCTTGTGGACTGAGGTCAGTCTCAGTCGTGGGGACCTACCAATGGCTAGCCGAGATCAGGGGATTCAGTTCTGCATATGGCTGTACTTGTGGTATAATATGAGAACAGAGACATAGTCTGAAAGAGGACTTTCAAATTCTTTTTTTTCCTTTCTTTTCCTCATTCCACCCTAAAATTTCTTTCTTTTTTCTGTCCTCTCTCTCCAACTCAGTCTCTTGCTCCACCATATTATTCCTCATCTCCCTTTTTATTCCTCCTCCTGCCCTAACTCAGACTTCTTCTTTAATTATTTTTCCTTTTTGGGGGTGGGTGTTTTGTTTTGTTTTTTGGTTTTTTTTTTTTTTATGTTCTTTTCTCCAGTCATTTTACCTCACTCATGGCTCCGTAGCTTCAAGGGAAGGCAAGCACCTGTTACTGTTAAGGGGATATATTCTTGTCCTTATTCCTGCACTCTGTCTATCCCCTCTGAAGTCAATAGCTTCATAAAGATAGTAAGGTCATTCTACATCCTCTGGTTTCACTTCAAACCTGCTCCATTTCTTTCACTTATCTACTCCTCTCATCCTAACTCAGTCTAACCCCCCCATACTAAATGGTAAAGATGCTATATTGAGAAGTGTATTCACTGCAAACATATTTTGGGCTGCTTCTTGATATTAATTTAATTCACATGGTTTAAAGGTGATAGATTAATGACTAGCACAAGTGGTCAGTTTGCAAGCTGTGCTTGATCCTACTGGGCTGCTGAATGTATCAAATGGGATAAAGGATTGTGATTTATTTAATGAGTTGTTTTCTCAGATATTATGAAAATGAGGATGTCTATGAGTCATTAGAAACTCAAAAGCTAAAATGCAACTATATCAGGAAGATTTAAGTAATACCCAGAAATTAAACCAAGGACAACCCAACAACAAAAATAAAAATGAGAAAACACTTAAGCAAGACACAAAGACAGATTTCCAGTTCACCAATGGCAAACAGTAGGATAAATGAGGATGAAAAGTCTGATAGTGAACCAGCAGGATACCCTGGACACATAGCACAGGAGGTAACAAAACAGATCAATCAGGCTCTAGAAAAATTCAAATCAGAAATAATTTCCCAGTTAACCACAGAGATGATGAGCAAAATGGAAGTCATGATTCAAGACTCTAGAACAGAAACTGACAAAAAAATAGATGAGCTCAAGACCATGATAGAAGCC